AAGCTATTTCGCATAACGCTACCAAGAGGTCTGGTGATGCAGATTTAATAATATTCACTCTCTGAGATGGAGATGCTCCATGCATAGTATGCAGTAAAGACAGGTTTCTTTTAATGCGATCAGACATGTTTATTTACTTTCTCTTAGGCACATACACAACAGGCAGGTCTGAAAGAATGTCAGTTCTGAGTCTGAACACGAAAAAATATTTACAACATTTTCAATCTGTTCTGAAATGAGCTTATTGGGATTTTCAATAAACATTTTCACAAAATATGTTTTACCATTGTTATAAGGACCTGACACAATTAGACTAAAAGGATATTGTAGCCTAAAATCAAAACCATCAGTCTCCCTAACAGCCATGGTATGGTAAAGTTCTCAGATCAGGAAAAACTCTGCCTATCGTGTACACAACCTGAAGTCTTGCGGCTAATGTTTTATTTTTTAGTTCGAAAGCCTTTTTATTTCTCAGATACTTAAATTGTCTCCTATTGTTAGGATAGTAGATAGGGTGATATCTATCTCAGCTTAAATCCCATAATATCCCACATTCTGTGATGCAGTATAAAACCGGAAAATGGTATGTATGTGATGCGCTGTTTGTCATGGAAAATAACACTATTTCAATGTTGTTTACAACAAGTCACAAGCTATTTCTTTTAACTCATCGCCATCGTTGTGAGTGGACTGTTTTGCTCAACCTAAATACATGCTTAAACACAGGTGGAATGCATTTGGTTTACTCTCTTTTCAACCGGGTCATCCCATCTTGCGTATGTTTGTCCCCATTCGGTCAGTGAAGTCACTACGCAGGAGGAATGCGAACAATAAACACTTGCACACGCACTTGTAAACATCTTGTGAGCCATCTGTTTTGCGTTCTCACGCATAAATCCATCACATCACTAAATACTAACTATTTCAATGTCGTTTACAATAAGTCACAGGCTATTTCTTTTAACTCATCGCCATCGTTGTTAAGTGAGTGGATTGTTTGTGTAACCTAAATACATGTTTAAACACAGATGTAATGCATTTGGTTTACTCTCTTTTTGTGTGTGTGTGAGTGTGTATGAGTGTCCCCCTTCGGTCAGTGACGTCACTACGCAGGAGGAATGCCCCGTTCTTGGAGATCGGTTATAAAGGGAGGGGAGCCACAGAGCCTCTTTTCCTGTGGTGCAAGAGTGCATGCATTTGAAATATTTGTTACTGAGAGTTTTAAAACAAGAACGATAAATAAACACTTGCGCACGCATTTGTAAACATCTTGTGAGAGACATCTGTTTTGTGTTCTCATGCTGAGTTAAATCTGGTTTTGTAGCTCCTCTGTCAGAGTTTGACTCCTTTTCTCCCCGCACTCAGTACGTATTAATATTAATTCTACTAACCATTTATAGAAAAAAAACATGCATGCATTTGAAACTATTGTTACTGAGAGTTTAAATCAAGAAGGAAAAATAACCACGCATGCATTTGAAACATTTGTTACTGAGAGTTTAAATCAAGAACGAAAGATAACCACACATGCATTTGAAACTTTTGTTACTCATTTTGTTGCTGAGAAAGTTTAATTGTCCGCTATAAGACAGTTTAGTCACAGTTAAGAGAAAGCGTACATAAATCCACACTGAATCTCAGTAGACCCTCCCTCCTCTACATCACAATCTTGCAACTAGAAGTTACTGCATGTAATGTAGTAACGCAATGTAGTACAGCCTATCAGCTTTAAAGGCCGTCCCTCAGACATCCCGTGATGCATTTCGACTACAGGAGCTTTGTTAAAAATTACTGAAAAAAACTCCTATTTGTATGAAATACAGAAGATGCTTTGTAATTTATGTTTTCTTAAATGTTTCTGGTTATAATATAATGTTTTTTGTTGGTAATTATCATTCCTATGACAGTTTACTATTGAAACCATGAATGAAGGGACTGTTTCATTTGATGGGGATGGTGACCGGACAAAGCACTGACAAGTTACTGTATACAACTCTTTAACGGCTGATTGTTAAGCTGGTCTGTTAAAGCATAATCGTTACATTGCAAGCAAGAAAGTGCTGTGGACAAGGTCTCACATTTGATGAGAGATGTTATGTTGGCTCAGACCAATTGGGGCAGTAGTATAACCTGCTATGACAGGCGATGTTAAATGAAAAACCCCAGAAAATAACAGTAGTCAAACTCTGAAACTTATAATGGGTTGCATAAGGTGTTTTGTTGAGCTAGACATGTGATTGTGCCACTGTGGCCGAAGGTGGGCGATGTCGAAAGATAAACCCCAGAAAACACTTCAATTCTCACACAAATAACAACTCACCAGCAAGAAAGCAATACTCTCTGCACTATCTGCTTTCAAGTCTATAAGGCGTAAGGATTATGATACGCTAAACTTTAATTAATTTATTTGTATATAGATAATATCATGAATTTCTCGGGAGCGCGCAAAGCTGCCCTTTATTTACTACTACTGTTTTTAATCAATATTTCAATGTTTTAGAAGCTTTTATTTTGTTATTTGGAACGTGGTTGTATGGAGAGAAAACATGTTTTGAAGATAACTCCCAATAAAAGTGAACATAGAAACAGTAAATATGCCCAAAACATGGACATTCGACTGGTATATTTTTGAAAGATTGTGTAATAACTGTTGTATATCAGTTTCTTCAATTTCATCAAATTTACAGTTACAGTTGTATTCCAGGTGTATTAGAAGATATTAAAAATTATAATCTACCTTATGATGGTTTATTGCATTAAAATATAGTTTTTTTACCAGGCAAGGTTGAAAATCTCCTATTTTTTCTGTATTGCATCTCCATGTAGTCTGTAATGGTAAAATAAATATGTTAATGTACAAAGGATTTATATTCCTTAGCTTCTGACCTGAATTATGTATCTAGGCCTAATGGTTGAGGAGATTTTACTGATTTATTTTGGGTATGTTATTTTAGGTTTTTCCTGGAAATAGGTAGCTGGTACCATGTGGTTAACATTGAAATGTGTATGTGTATGACTGTGAATGTTTTTCTTTATTCCTTTCTCTGTGGAGATAACACAGCTTATTTTCCTGTGGCATTGTACGTAGCTGCTACAGGAAAATAAAAGCCCCCAAAACACTTCAGGGAACTGAGAAATAAAATCTCACAAAGAGAATGATTTGTTTTTTGTCCTTATAAGGAATTAGAAGAAAGGACCTAACTTTCAATAAGTGATGTAGTTACCAAATGTGTTTGTGTCTATGTGGAACTTTCTGTTTTCACCAGGCCATATTAGCTAAAGAGTGTTGACTTTTCATACATTATTCCTGACGGCGGAGCGAAAAAGTCGTCAGTTATCTCTCCAAGATTTGGAATATTAACTACATACTTTATATATACACTCCTAAAATTCACAACTGTTATGGCAGAAAATTGTGTCCTCTTGCATTTAATCTATTATGTCTGTTATTTTACTATTATTATTATTATTACTTTTATTATTACTATTATTGTTATGTCTTATAGATATGTATTTCCCTCTTCTATACTCCTTATGTTAGTCTGTCCACATTTACTAGGGTTTAGCTCAGAGCTGTGAGATTGTTTTGGTGTTTTCTCCCTCTCGTTGTTCCTCTCTCAACCTTGAATGTTCATTCACCTCTGTTCCCCAAAACATAGAAACCTAGACTGTGTAAATGATTATGCATCCCTTTGTTCGGAGCCAGATGGCCAAAGCAGCCCTAGGCAGCAGGTCTCTGGACCAGCTGTATATGTGTTTTAATACTTCTGTTTTTACTCTTTTATTAATAAATTATTCAAAGACAACGATGGGTTGTTACTCAATTATTTGCTTAATCCCTCACTAGCAAAATACAATTTCCACGACATTGACCAAGGCTAATTATCTTTGATCAGTCCTGGGGAGATCCAGGGGTCAGACCAAAGGAGGAAAAATCACTCCTTTAATCATTTTAACATATTAACTTATCTCCACTTCTCATTTTCACTCTATTATTTTCCTTAATATATGTAATCACTATATTGATTTTGTCACATTTTTGATATATTGCACTTATTGTTTCTTTAAAGAGGTAGTATTATTCTTATTTTCAGGTTCAAAATCCTATTTAGGGGTTGAACCAGAACAGGTTTACATTGTTTAATTTTCAAAAAGCACCATATTTTTTCTCATAGTGCACATTGCTGCAGCTCCTCTTTTCACCCTGTGTTGAAGGCTTCGTTTTTGCTATGGAGTGATACATCTTGTCTCTAAACTATATTTGTAGGGAGTTACACATGCGCAGTTCCTAGTTAAGGGCTACTAGCCAATCAGAAACAGAAGGGTGAGTCAGTGAGAAGCAAACAAGGCTTTGTTTCAGCTGTACATGTTGCCGACCAGCATGGCTGGAGCAAGAGTTTCAGAGTGGTGAGTTATTAATCGGCAACAAATGTATCTTTCATCCATAAAGTTTTAACTGAGCTCTGTCTCTAAATCACAGTAACAACTTTATGTCCATTGACTGCTTGGAGGGTAGCTAATATTTGGAAAGGAGAGGAGGTGTGTGCTGCAGCTCAGTGTTTTTGAGGGCATGTCGGAGTAGCCGCTTGGCGAGTGTTATATGAGGCGCATTTAGCTTTCTTCCCTGTGTCATCACAAGGATGAAAGGGAAGCGTCTGGACTACAAACGAGCTGTTTTCAGGCAGTTCAGAGCAGTGTTTTCTGTGGGAGATGTGACCTCCTTTTGGGCTGGACTTTGGGCTTTTTCACTTTGCAAACCTATTATGTGCACAAAAAAGATATATAACTCAATAAAGGAGAGGGAAAAAGCCAAAAAGCATAATACCACCTCTTTAATAAAATCTTTGAAATTTAGAAAGTAGACTATTGAGTCTTTGCCGCTTATTGTTGCAAGAGTGTATGATTATTGAAAGATGCCTACAAAGAAACATTTGATCTTTCTTAACAAGAGTGCTTCTTTTTTTTCGTCTGAGACGATTCTTGTTGAAAGAATAATGTACCTGTCCTTGTCCAGCAGCTTACCTTCACTGGTTTGTTGCAGCATCTTGATCTAAACCACCTGAAAGAAAATGAGATGGAATGAATTAACATGAATAAAACTTCAACATGAACTTTAAACATGACACAACACACAAGTATTTAGCAGCAAATGAACAGATCATAACAGAAAGTTTGTCTCACCACTCAAAGATGATGATTGTACTGTAGAGCATTACAATTCCCAGGATCTTCACTGTAATGTAGACATCAATCCCAAACTCTGGATAATCTGTAACTAGACAGCTTCAACTTAATGGGAAATGTCATGGCTCTAAAACACCTTCAAATTAATTTCCGTCTGTTGATTTCAAATGTAAACCGATGTATTAATATTATTTGTATGGCATCATTTCACACAAATGGAACTGAAAGTAATTTTCAGGTTAATGAAACAAAACAACAGCAGAAAATAAAATAAATAAAAAAACAACAGGAAAGAAAGCAGATTAGATTAAAATAAGCAGGTCCAGCACAGTTCAGTATTTACCTGCATTATTCAAACGAATCTGTAATGAAGTTTGTTCACCAAGAATATTTGTGGCCACACAGTAATAAACTCCTTCATCAGTGACATTGGTCACCTTGAAGCTGTAAACCTCTCCTTCAGATACAGTCATGGGTCCATCTGTGCTGCTCTTGAACCAGGTGAAGCGGCTGACGGGAGGCTTGGCTCTGCTGGAGCAGGTCAGGGTCACCCAGCTACCTGCTGACACCAAACCTGATGGACTGATGGACACTGAGGTGTCTTTAGGAGCATCTGAGGAAAATGTGAGATTCACTTTATTCAAATCAGCTGACATCCCATCAATCATCATGTGCTGACAGGATCCAATAACAAACTCTGCTTGTCTTACATGAAACACTGAGAGTCTTTCTCTCCTCTGCTGTCTTGACATCTTTTCCCTTATTCACAGGATATCTGGCAGAACAGGTGATGTTGTATCCATCATGTTGGTCTGACAGAGTGATGGTCTCCTGGATTTTAGTTGTAAGGGTTCGATCTGTGTTTTCCTCTGTGTTGCTGTGAGAGTCTTGTTGGAGGTTCCAGGTGAGTTTAGGAGGGGAGTGTGGACAGGGAGTGGAAGCTGAGCAGGTTATAGTGACAGACTGCTTCTCCTTCAGATCAGCTGGGATCTCAATTCTGGGGCTCGGAGGAGAATCTGTGGTTTCAGATCAAACACAGATTAAACCCCCAAAATAATACAAAATGACTAAACACTTTGGTGTTAAGATGGTACAGTTTGTACCAGTTATCAACATAATTTTATTGTAAAACTGAAAATTAAGTCAGCTTCATCAGTGTGTGTGGAAAAACTCATCATGATACACTGGGACCTTTTTAAAATTGAGGCGTATATTTATTAGTGTTGTCAAGACCACCTGAACTCAGACCAAGTCAAGACCAGAGTTTATTGATACCGAGACAAGACCAAGACTTTTAGGGGCTAAAACCAAGTCAAGACCAAGACCAGTTCCTCACATTAAATGACACACAATAAAATGTGGAGCGAGATCATAGGTGCGCTCTCAGAAAATAAAGTACATAATTGTAGGGGTACAATGGCTTGTCAATGACTTGTTGTACCCTTGGCACAAACTTATATGTTCCTTTTTGACCCTCAAAAACGTTAGTGTAGATTGTACCTTGGGGGACAGAAATGGACTCCTACTGTAGCCCTATTTCTAACAGTGTACTTCTCAAATTTATCTGAAAGATCAACATTCCCATTCCCACTTAAGCATCTTTATTCAACAGTCCTTTTCCATGTTTACCATCCACTTAACACTAGATTTGGGCGATATGGCCAAAATGTTATTTAAACGCAGATGATATTTGTGGTTTTAAACGATTCTTTACGGTCAGAACAAATACGTGACGCAAAACAGTGGATCACTTCTCAAACCTGAGGTAGAACATTCAAAACTATTATGAGAAAATAACTAAATTAGGTAGCTTGTGCACCTGGCTAGTTGGCAAATAACTGGCAAGCAACCATGGAAAGCAACTGAAATTAGTTGTTGTTAATAAATAAATCACACAATGTGAAAGCAATTTATTGATATTCCCAAAGTTATGGTCTTGACTTGTCCTGAAATAAAATCCAGAGTCCTCTATGTTCGAGACTGAGACAAGACTGAGAACAAATGTGGTCAAGTCCAAGATGAGATTGAGACCATCAGAAAGTGGTCTTAAGACCGGTCTTGAGTACTAAAACACTAATGTTTATAAATGTATGTCGATTTAATCTTCCACTGATGATATTTGAAGTAGTAACAGAAGACACACAACAGTAAAGCAAAAAATATAATATGTAATACAATACGTACTTTCCAATACGTAATAAGGAAACATTTCTTAAAGGGGTTATATGTTGTTTATTAATAAGTGATTTCATGGAAAAATTACTTTTTTACTTAATTTTTGCCAAAGGGCTGTAACCTCACTTAGAAATGAAGCATACACCTGTTTTCTCTGTTGCTTGTAATCATAGCAAAGGTTCCGACGAATTTTTGGGGTTGCTTTAACATAAATTATTTGTTTATTTAACTGTTTTTAAAAAGGGGCCATAAAGCACAGTGGCCCATTGGGTAATTTTCTATACTGACACTGGGCCGGCCTTATCACATCTCTTACTAGCCCCCACCCTTCCCCCTCTACCCTGTCTGTTTCTATGGTTGTGTTGCAAAAAAACATCTTCAGATGGAGGCCACCAAATAAGATAATCAATATGTTTGCTTTCGGGGCTTCAGTAGCTTCAACATCAGCTGCAGTACCCGACGTAGAGCAAGCACATGAACTAGAATGAGTAAAGGAAAGCCGTGGCCGCTGCCAGGCAGAGGAGACTGCGTGTGTTAGCGAAGCAGAGGTACAGAGTCACGGTTACAGGGCCGAGGGACACAGAGAGCAAGAGTGGAGGGGAAGCAGAAACCATGGAGTAGCTCAACCTGTAGGGAGGGAGCAGGGAGGTAGGGTCAAAGGTGTTATGTACACTGGGAACGCCGGAGACATGTCCCCACCACTTTTTTACATCGCAGATGTTGTCCCCATGAAGTATTTGTTAAAAATGTTCTAAAAACAAAAATTGCAACAAGAAATGTTAATTTCATGAATGCTATAGGAAATGTTTACTGTCACAATAAGAAAAGCTGCAATGCAATGTAAATATAGAAGAAACATCTGCGTTGTCCAAAAAAAGTAACTTAACCTAAAAAAAAAAACAGGCTATTGATTACTGCATTATCTACTATATTTTTATATTCTATATTGTCACCTGTCACCTGAATTTCTTCCCTTTATATAAAAAGACATTTCCACTATAAATTGGTGCAGGAAATTAAGTGTTTGATGCTCAAAATCAATTTCATCAATAAATATTTTTTTAAAATAGTATTCCAATATAATCTTGTCTTGTACTCATGATCCCAATCTTGCTCACTCGCTGTCATACAGCGCTACATAAGCTGTGTGACATTGTTTTTGTAGCTAGTATATCCATGGCACATACCACTCAGCTGGTTTCGACATTACAGTATGTACAGTAGGTACACATGTGGAAGGATGGTGTCAGGTGAAAACAGTCAACATCTGAAAGGCTTATTGTTATCTCACCAGCTAACTCTGACCAGATGCTAATGTTATCTTGATGATTTAACCTAAAATTAAGCCTAATTGAACATTTTGCCTAGATCACGATTAATGAACAATTATTTTGATTTTTGTTGTTGTTTTTTTGCCCTCATAGTTCACTGACAAGGTTTTTACTGTAAATATGTTCCACTATTAAAGCTGGGTTTATTTATAAAGGTAAGTACATGAACACACATAACCGAAATAACCAACATGATAACATTTCATCAGTTAGAAGCTCTGAATTTCGGATTCGATTACTTTTCAAATTATCATCAAGCCCTTCCCATAGGAAAGCAAAATCCAAGATGAGATCTCATAGTTGTCCTTGTTTTCTCCTAGTCACAAATGAGCGGCTTTCAATACCAAGGTGAGACCAAAGGCCTTTTCTCCCATTTCTGAAATTCATCTCAGGAGAAACAACCGCATAAAATATCATTTATGTCTGACTCTGATCAAAACAAGAGATCTCTAACTGATCTTAAATAAGTCTAATTTAAGTCTCCTGAACATTGGACCATGAGCTCAGAGAAAGAGCTCAAAGAAAACTCAGCTATGACTCCTTGGAGTTTGGAAGTCACAGATGAGATCTCATCATTGTATCTTTTTGAGATCACTCCAATCTGAATTGTTGCTCCTAAAACCCCTTAGGAGAAAAGGATGAGATGAAGAGAGATAGAGGTTTTGAGACTTTGGTAAGACAAGTGGATACTGAATTGAGATTACAATAGGATAAATGGAAGTAACAGATGAGATCTCATCATTGTATCTTTCTGAGTTCATTAATGCTTATTGCTCTGAAAAAACAGTTGGGAGCTCTGGGGAGATGCGTTGGCGTCTGTAGCTACCTGTCGGAAGCTCTGTCTTAAACTCTTATCCAGTTTTAATCCACACTTTTTCGTTACATTTTTTATATCCTTTTTATTTAACTGAAGTTTTACGTGGGTTAAGGATTTGTTGTCATCCAACATGGATTTTAAGCTAGATGACCATAAAAACGCTATCAACGCTACTGACCACAACAACGCTCCGGCGACTAACGTTATGCTAGCCGAGATAACTCTGCCCCCTGAGGACTGCACGCTCCTTAAGAAAGCAAACAAAAACATTACTGACCTTATGGAAGACATCCGATGACTTTCAGAGGAACTCAAAGAGAAAGATTCCCTGCTGACTGGCTTTATGGATGTGGCTTCAATAACAGAAAAACAGATTGTTTCTCTTAGCGCAACCGCTAACACCCAGGACACCGTGCTATGGGACCCCTCTACCCTTCCAAGGCTTTCCTCCTGCTCGACTCCGAAGCATCAGTCAACCTGGGCTGAAGTGGTGGTCCGTGGCTGCAAGAGAGGCTCAGACGGGGCTGCCTCTCCTCCGCACATCTGCCTCTCCAACCGCTATGCAGCCCTGTCTAACGACACTCCGGTCCATCCATCGGATGCACCTGCGGCTTCGAGTCTCCCTGATACGGATCCCTTTCGGCGGACAGTGCCGGCCGACACTGTTGCATCTCCTCCACCGGCTACATCTCCTGCACTGGCGGCAAACGGTGATCGGCTGCCGGTCTGCCGCTGGGCCTGATCGGCGGCAGTCATCCCAGTCAAAAATCTCCGCTTCCCGACGTAGGATCCTGAAGGAGGCTGTGCTCAGACGCTCCGGAGTCCATCTCTACCCTGCACCGTCGGGTAGCCCTTCTCTCAGGTCCGTTACTGCTACTCCAACACAACACTCGGCAGTTCACACACTCCATCCTCAGTCCGCACGCAGTGTTGAAGCAGATTCTGCTCAGTCCTGCTCTGTAACCCCACAACCGGCATCTCCTCGTCCCCTTTTCTCCCCAACCACACTAATATTTGGTGACTCTATAACCAGAAACATCCGTTTCTTTAACGCTACCACTCACTGCTTCCCCGGTGCCACCACGGCTGATATTTTAAAAAAACTCCAAGACCTGATGCCATCGCTCCCGTCCTCATCACAAGAGTGATGTGGGAACAAATGACACAGCTCTTCAGCAGTCTGAGCTGACAAAATCAGATTTTAACTGTCTTTTTAACTTTTTAAAGCAGTGTGGAAAGTCTGTTTTTATCTCTGGTCTCATTCCCACAGTTGTGTGTATTATGTCAAAAACTTTAATATTTTCTGGCAAAAAATGTCTCTTATTAAGACAGACGGACTTCACCCAAACAAACGGGGCTCAGAAATGTTAGCTGCTCACATACAGCACGTGGTGTGGTCCACATATGACTTACGTGAATGACTAATCATTCATGCAGCACACCTGGACATCATCACCATAGACCAGTAAACCGAAATGTGCACATCCCACACAGCAATCATAGTAATCTTATAAGAATTAGGACAACTGCACCAACTCCAGCACCCAAAACAAACTCATTTAAAATGGCTTTCTTCAATGTGAGATCACTTTCAAGTAAGATTTTTATCTTCAATGTTTTTATCTTGTCTGCAAATCTAGATTTTATGTTTTTAACTTAATCATGGTTGCAAATGAATGACTATAGCCAGCTA